CAAATGGGTCAAAGATTTCTCATTTCTTGATTAATTTTTTAAAAATAATAAGACTTCAGATTTGTGTAGTGTTAATATGTGTAATATTTACAACATGTATAAGTGATTCGATTTTGAGTACAATTATCAATTAATGTCTGTTAATTACAAGTTTTAGATCTACGTCATGAACCTGAAGTCAAATTTAATTATTCACATATAGCGGATTCTAATTAAAATACCTTATAATTTGTTTTCTGGTAACAACTTTTGTTGGCCAAAATATTTATAGATCCTAATCTTGATCAGAACTATATTCGTTATTTGAGTTTTGTGTTCCTCCAATAATGATTACTGAAGTAGATTGACGACGTTGTAAGATTAAAACATATACTATACTAATTTGATCACATTACCATAGGATGCCTCAACTCATTGAGCGATACTTGCATACCACTGGAATGCGACTTCCAGATCCTCGTGACGACAGGGTATATATCTACGCATACTTTTTTCTTTGATAAAGTATATCTACGCATACTTTTTACCGTTTTGTGTTACCAATAAAAAAAATAATTCATTTGTATGTTAATTTGTGTGTGTGTATATATAGGAGCAATTGTACAATGAAATAGAAGTACTAAAAAGAGAGACATGTAAGCTTGAGCTGCGTCTGCGTCCGTATCAGGGACATGACTTAACCTCCATTCCTCCACACGAGCTCCACATACTCGAGCAACAGCTCGAACAATCTGTCCTTAAAATCCGTGAGCGTAAGGTAATATAATGTAATATATGTTCATATCAATATTCTCTTAAAACTATATATTGATTACACTTTTGCTTCATCTCTTTCTCTATCTCTAATGTTAATATATCGAAGAATGAGTTGATGCAGCAACAATTGGAGAATCTAAACAGAAAGGTTACTCTCTAATCACTCTTTTTTAAGTACCATTTCCTCATCTTAATACCGTGGGTTTAATAATCATTACGGTATCTATATATATATGATCAGAGGAAGATGTTGGAAGAAGATAACAACAATATGTATCGTTGGGTAAGTTTGGTTACTAGAGAATGTTCATTTGGTTACACATTTTC